CCCGCCGGGCCAGGCCAGGCCGCGCGGCGAGGCCGGGGAGGCGGCTCAGACCCGGGCAGGGCGGGACCCCCGGCCCGCCCCCCGCCGCCGAGGGCGGGCCCGGGACGCGCCCGACCCCCCGCCCCCCGCTGGACTACAAGTCCTGGCGAACCGGGCTCGGAGAGTTCGGGCCGGGGGCGCTCCCTCTCCAGGGGCTGCCGGCGGGCCGTGTCCCCGCCGATCGGGGCGAGCACCCTGCCCACGCCCGCCCCGGCCCCAGAACTACAGCCCCCAGCGCGCCGCGGGCGGGCGGGGCGCACCGCGAAGCACGCCGGGCGTAGTAGTCCGCGAGGGCCCTGCGCGCCGCCCGGGAACGGCCACCGCGGCCACGGGGGAACCACAAATCCCGTGAGGCCCCGCGCGGGCGGCGCCCCGGCCGGCGGCGGGGTGGGAGCCGGCCGCGGCGGGAGCAGCCCGGGCGGACGGGCGGGCCGGCGGCGGGGCGCGCTTACCGGCGTGTCGAAGGAGAAGGCGCACTCGTCCTTGTGGACGCGGTCGCCGGCCTTGGGCACCCGGATGGACGGCAACACCGACAGCAGCGCCTCGCTCAGCTCCGCCATGACAGCGGCTCACCGCGGCACCGCCCACAGCCCCGCCCCACCCAATCGCAGCCCGGCGCGGTCAGGCGGGTCCTAACCAATCGGCAGCGAGGCTGGAGGCCGGACTCGCCCTGCCGACCCGCCGGCTCGCCCAATCGCAACCGCTCTCCGGCCATGGCGGGAGGCGGTGCCGGGCTCCTCCACCAATAACGACATACCGAGGGGCGAGGGGGCGGGACTGTCTCCGAAGATTGACAGCGGGGCGAGGCGGGACGTGACGGGCGGGGACTGCGGAGCCGACGCGCTGGCGGGGCGGGGAGGAGGGCGTGGCGCAGCCAGCCCCGCCCCCTGCACAGCGGCCAATGGGCGGCGGCAGCGCCCGGCGCGCGGGAGATTCGAACGGCGCGTCCGGCGGGGCTGGGGCGCAGTGCGGCCGCCGCCGCCATGGGCGCCTCTGGCAGCGCCCCCGCCACCCCGGCCGCGCCCCGCAACAAGCACCTGGCTCACGTCAGCGACCCCCGCTCTCCTACCGCCGGCATCCTGCGCACCCCCATCGAGGTAGGCGTCCTCCCACCGCCGCTTCCCTCTGCGTGGCTCCGGCCCGCCGCCACCACGGCTGCCCTCTCCGCAGGTGGTGAGCTCCCCGGCGGACAGTCTGCAGCCCAGCCCCGCCGAGCCGCCGGCGAGCACTGGCCAGCAGCGTGACCCACGGTCGCCCACGCCCGGCATCTCCCGCACGCCCATGAGAGCCGTGTCGAGTGGTGAGTGAAGCGGCCGTGGGCGGGCGGGTTGGGGGCTACCTGACTCAGAAGCTCACCCCGGCCCCCTCCGTCCCCGGCAGACAGCGTGGACCGCCTGGTGAAGCAGCTCAGCGAGGCCTTCGGGGCCGAGGCCGCGGCTCCCGAGCCGGCGCCTCCGGCAGCGGCGGGCCCCGCCGAGGAGCCGGCCCGGCGGAGCTCCCCGCCCGCGGGCCAAGAGGCGGAGCGGCCGCCCTCGCCCAGCACGGCCCGGCCCGCCCGCCCGGCGGGGCACGGTCTCTCCTCGGGTAAGTGCTCGGTGTGCCGGTGACGGGGCTCCGTGTGCCCAGAGAGCTGCCGGGATGGGCCGTGAGCAATCGGGGCTCTCGGCGCCGTGTGGTTGGGGTGCCTTCTCAGGCATGCTCCCCGCCAGAGCCTGTCCCCAACCCCAGTTCGGCTGTGTCCCACCGCCTGCAGCCTCTGTGGCCCGGACACACTCTGGGAACTGTCATGTCATCGAACAGACTTTTGTCCAGCGATGAGAAATGGTTTTTAAACTGTATTTAAAATCTAGAGGTATACACCAACTCTTCCCCACTCCGCAATGGGTTTGTGACTGTGGAGATCTGTCCAGAGGGACCTTACAGTTTTTCTTTGGGAAGAGCTGTGGAGCAAGGGTGGGCAGCACATCTCTGTGCTGAGGCTGAGCAGTTCTGAGAGACTTTGATACAGACTGTGTTTTAGAAAGCTCTGTACTGAGCACTGCTCCTCGGAGGAGTGGCTGAGAACTAACTGTTCAACCTGGAGAGGAAAATGCCCAGGGGGTATCTTGTTAATAGATACAAATACCTGAAGGAAGGGAGAGCCAGGCTCTTTTCAGCGGTGCCCAGTGATGGGATCAGAGGCCAAGGGGACAGAATGGTACACAGGAAGCTCCTGCACACCAGGAAGCACTTTTTTTTCACCATGAGGGTGACCAAGCAGTGGAGCAGGTTGCAGAATCTCTATTGAGATATTCAAGAGACTCCTGGATGTGGTCCTGGACAATGAGCTCTAGGTGACCCTGCTGGAGTAGGTCCTCTTGAGTTCACTTCCAACATCAGCCTTTCTGTGATCCCTTTGCCTCAAAGCCCTTGGGTAAGTTTTTGATAAAGGCCATGAGGCATTTAAAATCCAGGACTTTTGAGCCTTGTTGTGATGTGCTGGTGTGTTTCCTTTTGTCAACTAGTGAGCAAGCCTATGAGACACAAGGCCAACAACAAACTCATGGCAACATCTGGAGGAACTGGCCGCTCTCCCCTCAGCATTCTACAAGATGATAATTCCCCCAGTTCTCCTGCCCCTCGCCAGGTAAAGCGTAATGGGTCATGCTGAGGGAGGGAGATTGAGCTGAAAGAAAGTCAAATCCTTCAATTTCTGTGTCTTATAGGGTCCCAGTTGAGAATTGTGGCCTCCTAGGCCTGTAGAGACTAGAAACTTCACAAATGTTTTTCTGTGGGTCAGTCTTGTCACTAAATGCCTCTGAGTCTTGTTCAGTGTCTGTCTTTGGCCTTACTGTGAAATTGTTCATTTCAGTGCATTCTTTCTCTGGGCTGTAGAAAAAAGTCACTCTTGTACGTTGTCACAAGAGAGTCCAAGCTGAATGGCCTGAAAAATAGGCTACATATTCTGCTGAGAATTAAGTAACTTTCGATTAACTTGTGTTTTACACTCTGTGTTTGGGTTTTTTATTCTCTAGGGCAAGAGGCACGTGTTGGGAGAGAACCTTGGGGAGAAGAAGGAAGTGGATCTGAGCAGGAGCCTTAAATCTGGGAACTGTGCTTGGAGTGACTTGAACAAGGAGAACCAGCAGTGTCCTTTTGTGGAGAACTAGACATTTCTTTTTGCAGGATCTTGCTATAATTTGCTGCTAGGTTTTGAGAATTTTCTAGAGGGAAGAAATCCTACAATAGACTGAAACCCCCAAGCAGTGGTCACATTTCTCGCCTATCCCTGCTGGGGAAAGATTTCTCCCTCCTCTTCCCAGTTTGTCATGTCTAATGTACAGCACAGACTTTGTCTCTTTTACTGTATATCAGCTGTATTGGTTTTTCCGTAGAGTTTTTATCTCTAGTAAATAAATTTGTGTTCAACCTTTGCTGACTGTATGTCCTGATAGTGTGCTTGCTTAGCACAATGCTTTCTCTGGGACAAGGGCTCAGGCACAAATAGTTCGGCCTTCCATGAGCCTTAAAACTGCCTTGTCCCCTGCCTGGAGCATGCTGAAGGGTATGGCCTCGAATCCATGTACAACAGCGTGAGCTGGGAAGCTGCAGCTCCCTGCAGGAAACTGATGTGTATCCAGTGTCACCTCTGGAGCTGTACTGCTCCTACACTGGCCTGAAACTGAGTTAGGCAAGGGTCTGTCCTGAGGGTGAGATCCAAAATAATGTGAGACAGTGTTGTCCATTGATACTGACCTTCTGTGGGTAAGTTACTAAACCTTGTTGATCTCCAGCTGTCCCAGCAGAGCCTGGGGCCCCTCAGGATGTTGCTCTGAGCCCACAAGTGGAATAGGGGCTGAAAAAAATTATTGTGTAACTGAGCTAAAATATCCAAGCTTTGAAAGGATGCACTTTCATCTCACTTTCCCAACTCCAGCCTCTTCTCACCTAGAGCATGTGAGGAACACCCTCCCCTGGGGATGTGAGCTAAAGCAAGGGCTGTGGATGAGGTGTTGACTGGTTGAGACCAGCAGGCAATAGTCACAGAAAAAGAGTTCTGTTTGCAGTAGCTCATTGCAATGCTGGAAAGAACACAATCTGCACTGCTTCTGTGAGCTTTCTTTATTTGCCTGGGCTATGAAGATCTAAACAGACTTGAAAACATGGGCTGATGGCTACTGGTTAGACAGGGTCACCACACAATGCAGGAGTGAGGCAAAGAGGGAAGGAACAGCAAGAAGCAGACAACAAATAAGAATAAATATAATATTCCCTGATATTCTGGCAGGTCTTGAGGGCTACCTTTCTGCCATTTATGCATAGATAAGACTTGAACTAAAAAGAATAAATGTATTCCCTGCTATTCTGGCAGGTCTGAAGGCTGCCTTTCCCCCCTTGATGCATAGATAGGACTTGAGCTAAGCGTTCCCCTGTGAAAATGAGCCAAATTTACTATAGCTTTATGTCTGAGGTGGTGCCATAGAAATCTCAAATCCAGTGTGTCTCTGAGGCTGTCTGCATGGATACAGGACAGCTGTATCCATTACAGAGAAGTTAGGTAGAGTTAAAGCAGGGAGAGAGCTTAGTTTGGGGTGGGTGTTGCATGAGGGGTCCTCTGAAGGAGGAGGAGGAGGGGTATCAGTGTGGGCAGAGGGGTTTGAAGGAATGTGCAGGGTGTCTGAATTGTACTGCAAAGTCCTGAGACAAAGAACAGGTCTTCAAGCCCACACAAGGCTGGAAACTGCTGGGGCTGTTTAGAGAGGGAGAGAAGGGCCAGTGCCTGTGCTCCTGCTCCCCAGCTCCCCCTGCTTCTCCTCCCTGATCTCCTTTCACTCTGGGAGACTCCTACAAGTGACCTGTGTCTAGAGACAAGTGGGAGTGGTAGGTAGGCATTTCTGTTGTGCTCAGCTGCTGATGCTGTGTTGCATGGGCTCGGGCTGTGGGCCGTGCTTCCGCTGCTCTTCCCCTCCCTGCTGCCGTCCTCAGTTCCAAATCTTGAGGAAACTGTCCCAGGAGCCAGTGGCAACAGCCATGCCATCCGCCGTCACCCCCAGGCAGCTCACTCTGTTGTCGTGGCCAGAAAGGATTCCTGTGGAGGGAAGGAAGAAGTGAGGCAGTGAAGGGGGTCCTGTGAGAGGTGACAGGATGGCCCTACTGAGGGGACACGTGTCACAGGCTGTGCCCACGAGCTGTGCGTGGCCTGGTCTGCTCCTGCACAACCTCTTGCAGTCAGTACATGGAGAACGGGAGCAAATGTCCCAAAAAACTTTTGTGTGTGGTGTACAACCAGCACCCAAGGGGTTCTTGGGCAGGTATGGCCAGCTGAACCTCATACAACTGCTTTCACCTGGCCAGCTGACTCCTCATGCAACTGCTTTCACCCTGGACAGCTAGAACTGCTTTCACCTGGCCAGCTGAGTCCTCAGAACTGCTTTCACCCTGGCCAGCTGACTCCTCATGCAACTGCTTTCACCCTGACGTGACGGTAAGACTAAGATAGGATGGGGTCCTTGGTAAGGCTGAGAAATAGCAGTGCTGCTGGTGGGCTGTGTTTCATGACTTTTTAGAGGGTAAGGGCTGCATCTGAAAGAAAAGTGCTGTGTTCTGTGTATGAGCATCACAGAGTACCCAAAGATGTTGGATGGAAGCCCAGGTGCACGCTTGGCTTGGTGCCTGGCCACCAAGTGGCACTGTGAGTACCTGGAACTGGCAGACGAGGAGGAAGTAGGATATTCTATAGCAGTTTTAGCTAATGGGAACCTTCTTGTCTCCCTTGATCAACGTTGTTTAAAGGCTTGACTTCCTTAACAATTAAAACCAATATCTCTTCTAGGCCAGTGAGAGTTGTTGGCCTAGTTCTGGTGTGCTCCCTTAGCACGAGGGAGCTTTGCTGGGTTTCTGTCACTATAGGATGTCTTCCTATGTTCAGGAAAAATAAGTGCCTCATTATCCCTGAGGCAGGGAGAGGAGGCCTTGCAGGGAGGGGAGGAGGGACCTCGAGGAGCCACTGACCCACACGCTCTGCTTTCAGGGAGTCCCAGATGTTGCAGTTGAAGTCGTCATAGCCGGCGAAGAGGAGGCGGCCGCTGCGGGAGAGGGCGATGGAGGTGATGCCGCAGATGATGGTCTCGTGGGAGTACATGATCAGCTCCTGGTCTGCCCGCAGGTCGAACAGGCGGCACGTGGCGTCATCAGAGCCCGTGCAGATGGCCTCGCCATTGGGGAAGAACTGGGGAGGGCACACACCATGTTTGAATGAGGTTCTCCTCAGATCCCGCTGGAATTCCTCAGCTCGTCACACCCCCCTCCTGCTAACCACCAGGAAGCCACAGAGGCAGGAAAACCTGGTGTGACCAGACACTGGATCATGGAATTTGAGTCTGCTGAAGGGGGAGACTGATATTCTCTTAAGGCCTAATAAACCCCTTCCACTCCAAGAAAACAAATGGCAAGATATCTCAGTGCTTGAGGAAGGATTATTTTAACTCCAGCTTTGGCCTTAACAAAAGTCCATCTATTATCCCCCAGCTGAGGTCTGACATAATTCTGGCTACCAGAGCCTTCCTCTGTTTGATCCTCATATCCCAGGCTTCTCATACATGCTCATGCCCAGGTCTTGCTCTGAGGTGTAAATAAAGGGGTCCCAGGAGCAGGTATGGCAGAAAACCATGTGGCTGACAAGGTAGCCATAGGGCAACTGAGAAAGGTTTCACTAATTGATGTCAGTGGAGGGTGGTTTGAGCAGCAGACTGCAGGAAGCTGGCATTTGCTTAGCTACAAGGAATAGTCTGCCACGTGTCTTGTCCTGCCATCTCTGCAGCTCTGAGGGAGGTGCTTCCTCCCAAATGTCTGAGCTGCCTCTCATGAAAATTTAATCTTCAGAAGATCTCCCTCCTCTCTCTTCCATCTGGAGCTGACCTCAGCTGAGTTAGATGTTCCTGCTGCCTCACTTGCATCTCGTGCCAGGGCTGCTGGAGCATGCTTAAAGCACAGCTGCCAACAGCTGTTGTGAGCAAAGCTGGACCAGCCCCTGTGTCAGGGTGCTCAGCTCCATGTCCAAGACTTGGGTGCTCTGGTGCCTGGAGAGAGCCCTCCTCCAAACTTCAGGGAACTTGGGCACTCCCTGCTTCAGGCTGGATCACGGGGCCAAGGTCTAAGACCCCTCTTACCCTGCTAACTGTGACAGCTTCTTTCAACCTTGTCCCAGGGCTGTTTTGGAGCTGTTCCATCCCCCATTCTCCGCCCTAGCCCCGTGCAGGGAGCGTACGTACGGAGATGGCGTTGATGTCGGACTCGTGCCCTGAGAAGGTCTGGCGGCAGGAGCCCTCCCGCACGTCCCACAGTTTGGCAGTAGCATCACAAGCCCCCGAGATGAAGAGTTTGAAGTCAGGGGAGACGGCCAAGCTCATGCAGTCTCCGGTGTGACCAATGAACACAGTCTTCTGCTGCCCTGTCTCGATGTCCCAGAGCGCACTGCAGGAGGGGACAGGAGAGGAGAGGAGCTCTCAGAGCCAGCCCAGGCAGAGCAGACCCACAGCCAGGCTGAAGAGCTGTCCCACTCACAGACAAAAGGAGGGATGCCGTGGTTACTGCACGGGAAAATGGGTGAGAGCATCCCTGGAGTCAGCTGTATATAACAGGAGATATCTTCACAGCTGTTGTTGGCAGTACCTTTGCCAAAACAGAGTTAGACTAAGGCTGGGGGTGTGAGAAGTTTGGCATATAAGTGTAACAGCTGAAGGGAATACTGAGAGACAGTAAGAGGGACACAAACAGCAAAAAAATAGCAAACAGCTGAAAAAGGTATTCTGTGTCCATGCTTGTAAGGTGCAAAGCTCAAAGCTCTTGTTCAGTGGGATCCCACAGCACTGCCAGACAAACAAACCCCAGGTAACCCTGATCTCTGATGGAAATGCCACATTTCCTTGGTCAAAAGGTTCCTCCAAAGCAGGTATCAGGATGAAATGGGGTGCATAAAGAATAAGGACTGTTCAGAGCCACAGCACAGTGAGCCCTGAGAACCAGGAACCGAAGGATCAAGGCACTGCTTCTGCAGTGTCCCTTGCACAGAGGGCAGGATTTGAGAAGTGCAGAACATGTGCATGCTCCACATAAAATTAAAACTCTCTCTGTCCTGGCATAAATGACACGGTTCTTTGTGAGAATTTTTGACATGGTCCCTACTGTTTGGCCTGGCCTCAGCTGAGAAAAGAAGCATCTGTTCTGCCAAGGGAGAAAGAATGGATGGGGCTTCCTAAGGTGCTCCATGTGGCCTCTCCATGTTCTAAGGAGCAATTCCTCCTTAGATAGTGGAGGGCTGAAGAGCACAAGGACTGCACTTGCTGCTGTGCTAAGAGCAGAGGTCATGGCACCAGGATACAGAAGGGAGCACTCACCATGTGGTATCTCCAGAGCTAGTCACAATGTTGTTGTCATCAAGAAATCGGCAGCAGGAGAGGTATCCTGGGAAGTGGGAACAAGCAAATATGAGAAAAAGGGGCAGGGATAGAAGGGTGAAGTTTGGAAGCAAGGGGCACCCAGTTGCAGGCAGGCAGTGCACACACCTGTGTGGGCTGAGAGCTCCCTGCTCACTTTGACGTTGCCTTCACGGGACTTGAGGCTGTAGATGGAGCACATGTTGTCAAGGCCTCCACAGGCCACAAAATTGCCAGAGGGGGCATAGGCACAGGTCATGACCCAGGAGGAACGCAAAGGGATGGCATGAACCTGGGAGGACCAGAAACCGTGTCAGGGCTCTTGGCAGCAGAGAGAGCAGGTCAAGGACACCATCTCCAAGAGGACCCACTCCAGCATCCCGGTTTGCAGCCACCTGGCTCCTACCTTGTTAGTTGTGTATGTGTCCCACACAATCAGTTTCCCATCTTGTGAGGCACTGACCATAAGTCTGTGAGAAAGGAACAAGGTCGTGTTAGTGGCTTTCTTCCCATCAGAGCCTTCCTGCCCCTCACACCCAAGTGCTGTCCTGCAGCCAGCAGGCCAGCAGCAGCTCTCACTTGGAGTCTGTGGACCAGTGCAAGGCGTAGATCTTGGCCAGGTGTCCCCGCAGGGTCCTTCGGGTCCGCATCTGGATGCGTCCAACGACCTCCATTCCAGATACAATCTAGAGAAAGAATTTATCTTGGACTACCAGGAACTTTACTGCTTTCCACATCTCTGCCTCCTGGCTCCTTCCTGACTGGGCACCAGCCCCTCAGAGTGGTGCTAGCTTGCCCAGGCAGCCCTGTCCCTTACCTGAGCAAGCGTTGTGTCTGCACAGGCTTTCCGGGCATCCTGGAGAAGAGACAACAGCAGATGAGACAGATTGAAAGCATGTGGGGAAGGTGATGACAAGTGAAATTTGGGGTCATTGTCTGAGGGCTACTAGAAGTAGGAATTGTGGCTTTGCTGTGTTTGGATTGTGGCCAGCACAGGGGGATCTTTGTGATTAGATCACCTTGACACCAGTCAATTGTCAGGGAGGTGAGCCAAAATTTGCTCAGCGTCCTGTTCACTGTGCTACACCCTTTCCATAGACCCTCCCACCTGACAGAACACCAGTGGCCTCACAGACAGAGGAGATCCTGGGGATTCATTACACTCGTGGGACCCCTGTCCCTGTTTCTCTCCCTTCCCCCACCATGGTGGGAAGATCTCCATTAGCATTTAAAGGCCTGTGGAGAGCTGCAGAGGGCTCCTAGACTTAGATGGAGAAAGCCCAGCTCCAGCTTGTGGCTGAGGAGGAAAGTTTGGGCATGCAGTGGGGGGTAGACACGCTCTCAGCAGCTTCATGGCTGTTGCCAGCATTACCGCAATCTGCTTCTTCAGCTGCTCAGCCTCCTGCTTCATCTGCTCCATTTCCCCCATCTTTCTGACCTAGGGGTGGCTCCTCCACGTGGGGCAGCCTGGATTCTGGGGAGACAGATCAAAGGAGAGAGGTGTGAGTTAGATAGGACACCAATGTGGCTGCTCAGTTACAGAAATGTAGGTATCCTGACTATCCTGACAAAGGATTGGTGACCATTTCTTGGCTGAACACTCGGTAATGTTGTGCTGTATCTGGCCACAGCCCTTAGCATTTGGGAAGCTTGTGCTGGGCCTGATCAAAGGTCCATTTTGTCCTGGATCCTGCTTACACATACACGTACAGAAGCTAAAGAACTCCAGAGCCTTTTGCTGAGGTTCTGGACACACTTGTCCATTAATTTTTAACCTCTCCATTCCAAGCCCTGGGTCCTCTTTATGAGCTTCTCCCTGTTAATGGCCAAGCTGTCCATCTCAGCTCCAGGAGGAAGAAACTTGATGGGGGGAGCCCATTGGCTATTTCCCACTGTTTGTCCTAAGCAAAGCCTCACCAGGCAGGACCAACCAACTCTCTGACCACCAAGGAAACCTATGGGGCTGTTGAGGCTCTCTCTCAGAGTTCCCTTCCAGTTTCACATCAAAAACCAAACCAAAACCAACCAACCAAACCAAAATAAAATAAAAAGAAAGGCTGATGCCTGGGGAAGGATCTAAGAATAGCATAAGCCGATAGGGGTACATCTCCTACTTGCCCAGCCCCAGCTTTTCACTGACGTCCAAAGCTAGAGCAGCATTACTGTATGCAAGTCCTTGATGTTCTTTTCTTCTGTGCATTTGTCCACACCATTTTTGTGCCCATGCCAAGTTCAGCCTCCTCAGTACCCCCTGATGATGACTTCCACAGCTGGGTGGCAGGCTCTGCAAAGAAGTTCCTGCTTCCATCACTTCCCGGTGGCACTGGTTCCACTTGACAGTAGCTATAGTTTGAGTTGGAAGAATCGTCAAATAACTGGTCTCTATCCACCCCTGCATCACTCGGTATTTCATACATCTTTGTCATACCCATCTCTTTTCTAGACTGCAGAGCAAACTTAGTCATTCCTCCTGTGTAAGCTGTTACATCCTATTATCTCTGCTGTTCTGTGAGCTTTGTTTCATTGTTTACAGAGCAGAGACAATACGTTTTTGCAGGGAGAGCAGGGAGCCAGAATTATAATCCATATTCAAGATGCAGGTGAACTGTATCAATATACAACAGCTCTGTTTTATTTTCTCTTTCTTGTTATGTGCATTCAAATCTTCACCAGCAATTCCAGCATCTCCCACTTTTGTTGACAAATGTGATCTTTAATTGCTCCAACATTTCACCTGGATAGATGTGAGTGTCCAGATGTGCTCCAGGTGTTGCCCAAGAAATGTTCCAGCAGCATCTGCAGAATTTCTCCCAGTTCCTCTGGGTCACATCACTTCCATCCCTGTTGCCTGAAGGCCTCATTTCCTCTGGTCAGTGAGGCTTTGGGTCCTTGCATGCCAGACTTGCTCTCTTGCTGTAGGCAAGCACATCCAGAGAGCTCCCAAGTCCCACCTTTGCTGGCTGCTTGGTAGAGCACTTTGAGTTTCCTTGAAGAATTCCTTCCCTTGAATGTCTCCACAGCTTTCCTTTGATCCCCCAGGCACAGAGAGTTTCTGCTTGTTCAATGATTCCTGAGGCATGGCTTTGAGTGCAGGAAAGAGAACAAGACACAGGTTTCCCCTAGCTCCTGGGAGGCTATCCCAGCAGGAAGCTGTTTCACGATACACTTTGCAGAGGGAGACTTGTGCCTGCTGCCTGCAAGGCTGGATAGAGGCACAGCACTGCTGACTGTTCCCTGCTCACTGCCCATGCACGGGATGGGGCTGCCAGCCCCAGGAAATGGTGAAGGAGCAGGAGGGCAGCACTGCCAGGGCCCAGAGGAATGTGCCACAGCCACGGCCTGGGGCTGCCAGCCTCAGCTCCTTCAGCTACCCTGAAGGACAGGAACGGACCAGCACCTGAGCTGGGCTCATTCCACTGGTTTTTCTTCTCTCATTCCAACAGAGCAGCAATGAGGGGGCTCCTCCCAGCAAGGACACACTGCTGCACCTCATTGAGTGAGCCTGGCCGTGAAAGCCCACCTCCATGCATTTCCCCTCCTTTGGGAGAGGGCTGGCATTCCACTCCACCTCTCAGCTGACTGACAGAGCGGGGAGATGCTGGGGAAGGCCTTGCAGCTTTCAGTCAGAGACTGCACATCCTCCTTTTGCTGGGTGTTTGCCCCTCACTTTTAGTGTACAGTTCAGCCTGCAAGGCTCCATCCTGCTCTGGTCACAGCCTACAGCACACCAAGTGGAACACCTGAACTTCCAGCCACCCTGTGCAGCTAGCTCTACCACTGTGGCCCACACTTTGCCCTTCTCAAGTGTTTCTTAGGACTGATCCATCAATCCTAAGCACTGGATTGCCTTTTCCTGCTAGGTAACCTCCTCCCCCTAACTCTCTCATTCCAGCCTCCTTTGCTTGGTTCCCAAGTTCTTCAGGCTGTTATTTCATACACCTTTGGCTCTCTGAGATCACTGTCCATCCACCTGCCCCAATTTTTATTTGTAGACTTCTGGTTTTGCCCACCCAGACCTGCACAGAGATGGGAACCTTGTTCTCCCTTCCCTCCAATTTCTGCTCTCGGTGAAGCTGGCTGTACACATCCTCCCCATTACCTGTCAGGTCCCAGTCTTCCTTTCACTGCTCCTGCTTTTTCACTACTCTCTTCCCTTCTCTGGTTGTTTCTCAACTCTGGTACTAGCAAGGGAATGCCAGTTCACTGCTCTGTAAAGCTGCATGACCAGATGAGGGGCTTTTGGAGCCATAGGCAGATCAAACAGCAGGGGCAGGATGTTGAGGACGGATAAAAAGGGCTAAATATAGAGAAGGTGCAGCTCAGGACTGTGTCCGAACCTTTAAATCCCTCTGAGGGAACACTCTAAATGAAGTTGGGAATTGTTCTCAGCCTCAGAAGGACAAGGAGCCACAGATGAGTGATAATAATAGCTCCATCTTTGCCTGTCGCCTCCATCCGTCACGTCCCAGCGCAATTTGTGGAGAGTGAGTTGTCCCCAGCATAGTGCAGCTGCCTCCCAGGAGGAGCAGGGCAGGTGTGCAAAAGAGCAGCTCGTTATGGTCATGCAAATTTAGGGCAGGAAATGGGAGGAACAAAATGGGGGAAGAACGGAGGAAAGGGAAATGGAGTTTGGCCAAGGCATCTTCCAGCCTTGACTGGCAGGACCTCAGGGATACACATTTCTAGTGGATCTAAGGATCAGCTCACAGTTGCTCATGGTGGTTGCCAGGCTAGTTTTAATGGGAAAGGCTTTTAAATGGTGCACACTTGGCGCTTTCTGGAAGTAAGGGCTCTTTCAGGGGAATGCTAAGCAGAAGAGGAAACCAAGTCCTTAGGTACCTTTGAAAGAAACAATTCACCACTCTCAGCACAGCTACTGACAGGAGGACCTTGGCATCAGCACTGTTCCAGAGTTTTGCCTCCTGCAAGCACCGCCAGGAGCAAGCAGGGCACAGCCAAACAGAGCCTGGGCTTGGCTGGTTCATGCCAGCCCTGTTCTGAGCTCTACCTTAGCTGTGCTCAGCCAGTTCACAGCTCTTGGCTTTGGAAATCACATTTCATTTCTTCTGCTCTCCAACATGACAGTTCTTCCTCCTCCTGCCTTTTCTAACAAATTTTTTGCTGCAGCACTCCTGTCTGTGGGCAACCAAACCCATCCTGAGTCCTTTGGTGTCTGCTCATAGCAGATCAAATGCCTCTGCTGTGGTGCAAGACGGAGGGGGACCTGGAATCATCCATCTTCTGCCTTTTGCTGCCACACCCTGACTTTTCAGAGCAGTGGCCACATCCCTTGCATGATGCCATGGAGGTGGCTCAGCTTGCTCCCTGGGGGCTGTCCCTCCAAGTCACCTGCATCGCTCCCTGGTAGGGATAAAAGTGCAAGGAATGGGTGGGAGAAAGAGGCAAGGTGAACCCTCTTATTATCTGCTCTTGGGTAGCTCCCCCCATGCTGCAGAAGGAGTGGTTGCTCTGTGAAATGTTGGGAGAGGGCTGTGAATAATGGAAAAGGGAAAGGGGGAAGAAGAAGGACTCAGTGGGAACAGGCAGTGTCCCTGGGTCTCCCTGTAATCCCTGACCAGCTTCGCAGGCTCGCCCTGGTGACCCCGGGCTCCTTGCAGAGCCGGATACAGAGATGATCCCTCTCTCCTGTGATGGAGATCAAAGGTCAGGGTAAAATTACCCTGCTCTGCTCCTTGCTTTCTGAGGGCTCCTTCTCCAGCCAGAACAGCAGCCAGCTGCAATGAGGTGTGCACAGGGTGCACTGGGAGTGCAGGGCTGTGTACAGGCAGCGAGTGCCAGGTCGATCAGGGGAGGTGTTACCCAACCGCTCCAGCCTGGAAACTGGTGAGATTTACCTGCCAAGTGGAGAACAAGCAACCCCATCCCAGTGCAAAACCCCCTCACCACTAAAGACACCTCAGTGTTAACCCAACTCCTTTCCATGATCTTACCCTCCCTCATCCTCTGATGGGATGAGCCCTTGTTCAAAGGCTCCCCATATAATCGCTCCAAGAAACTCAGGGTCCCAACGCCAGGTTCACCAAGGTGACCTCAGGCATCGCAAGGCGGCAAACTTACCGGGATCTGTAGAGCAAGGTGGGTTCCAGTCCCCTCTGGATGGGACCCTCACAGCCTGCCTCCCTTGCTGAGAATGGCTCCTCACTGCCCAAAAGTCCTTTGTACCTCTGCAGTCTCCAGGCAGTCCCGTTTGTCCACCCAGCGAGTCCCTCGCTCCCTCTCTGCTCCTCAGCCTCTCCCAGGACTGATCTCCCCATGGGGAGCTGGAAGGCTGTGCACGGGAGGGGTTGGGGGAGGGCTGATTCCAGGAGCAGCGTCAGGCAAATTAAATCAGACACCAGAGACTTGGGGAAATCGGATTGGGACGTAATGCAAAGCAGGTGGATGGGGAGGGGTGAAAAGAGAGAGTAG